TTCTTTTTCTCCTCATATGAAAACAAAGTATTTTCTACTTGATCATAATCAAGACTCTATGAAATAAAAACATAAAAAAAATTAGTAATATAGATGATGTACACCTTTGTGTATTTAATGCTTTGTTTATGGCAAGAGACATTACGCTAATCCAAATAAATTATACATTTTAAGAAAGAGCTAGAAATATTGAGAAAATCACAACCAAATCAAAAATAGTGTTACTATGTGATAATTATGTAAACATAAGGGTGTAAAATTGCATAAATATAAATACCCTGAGAATATCAACTATATAATTTATTTCAACTTGTTCAAACCAAATCCTGTTTTCACATGAGATTGCTTCAAACATAACTTTAACAATACTTGACAAACAATCAGCAATATTACTTAGCTCTGTTCGACGAACTCAGCAGTGCTTATAAAATTGCTCTTTTTAAGTGAATCATTTAAACAATCTCTCAAATCAGCATATTACATAAACAAACAAAAAAATAAAACATGCCACTAGATGGCAGTATATCTTCCATAGAAGAATTTTCCATTTTTTTCAATCTTGGGGAAAATGCTGCATGTTTCGAAAATGTCAGAAAAAAGAACACACCCAGACTAAGAAAAATAATATACCGGTAGATTGTTTTTACAGTTTTTAACAATGATTATGTAGCTCTTTTCTTACCTCATATTTAGAAGATATTACTCGCATACTGCCCACCGTATCTCTATCATCCGCTGTAACCTGCAACAATACAATTCACAGAATAGGAAATCAACATGGAACTGACATGTAATTGACAATTGATCCATAGACATGGACAAAATTCACTTGTTTTCCTGGTACATTATTAATAGAAAAATCCCCAAATGTAGGTGGTGGGCTAGTTCAAGTTGAACATCAGTTTAGCTATTTTAAAATATTCAACATGAAACATTTTCTTCACTGTCCATGGTTGTGAATCATCACTTATCTTTGACATGCACTGTTTGAATAAAATTTGATTTATTTCCAGTAGGACTGTGATTAGGAATAGAAATTCTGAATGACCACCTCACGGAAGTGATTTATTTTAGTGTATACAATGAGCAGCAAAGACATCATATCCTGATATTATAGAAACACACCAGTAAATTCTCTGTGGTGGTATGTATTCAATACTTTAGAACAACTAGGAAATTCCTTTTAGTGTAAAATATTTGATTTTCAAATACAGTGAAAATATACCCCCCTCCCACTGCCCCATGTTTTTCATGCATCTCACTGTGAATCTACGAAAATAAATTTCATCTTAAATAAAAAATAATTCAAAGGGGAATATCATTGTTCAAATCCAATAAAGCAATAGAGATGCGTTGTAAAACAGTAAGTCAAGGATAATTAAACATAGTTAAACTCTTGTGACCTTGCCCTTTGTTATCGTATATAATATTATTTCCTGCATCATAGTTTGTTTCAATATATATGCACTGTCATAATTAATTTTGAATATAAACAAGTTTTATGATTGAAACAACAGTGGGAAAGCAGTCTACCAAATGTCCTTGATAGATGTAAATATCTTACAAAATCATTGGTGCCTAATTTGTTTAATTATTTTTAAGGAACATAATTTCCAGCTTTATTCAAAATAATTCAGATGTTTTAGTATAAAAACAAATGCCTCATTTCGGAGGGGGGGGGGGTGCTGCATTTAGATGTGAATGGAATTGTGCAACATACAAGATAAAAACAAATCTTAACTGGTTTTTGCCCAAGTATTTTGTACAGGTATCTGTCAAAAATTGATGATTTATTGAAACAAATATAAACTGCCATTGTGTGACCACTGTATTATTTGAAAAGTAAAAAAACGCCCTCTAGAAATAACTATCATGTTGCAAGCTCTGCTTTGTATGCAAATAAACTAAAATAGTTGGTGTCCAGTGGAGGGAGAAGTCAACAGTACTGTTGCCTCCTGAGAAACTACATCTTCAAACAATTTAGTACAATTTTCCTTTCAAATGTGGATGCAACATTTTTGCATTGTTTTGATAAGTTTGAACTAAACAGACTTCAGATCTTGATCAATAGTTTGGCACCCAAAGGATTATTCATATTGGTGTTTGTTTTAATTATCTGACATCTTGTTTTCTGTTAAGATTTTATGGGTATGTTTGCAAATGTGTATCAGACTGTGCAACAACACTCTCTATGAGTTGGCATTGAAACCCAGTCTCGTATTCCCATGGGATTTGGGAAACACATTACCAATGATATTATTAAAAGATAAATAATTTACTTCATTGAACACATACAAAAAACTGTGTATATGCTATGAAAAAGTTAAGACCTTCACATACTTTATTTTATGTACGTAAAAAGCCAATTTTTTGTTTGATTGCCTAACACTTCTATATTCATTTGCTACAAGTTAGAATGCACATACAATGTACCCAAGCTGCCGTCCTTCAGCAAGTGTCAAAATCGGGACACTATCCATTTTTACGCAATCTAGGAAGTCCGAATTACTAAACGAAGTACAATTCGACGAGGCTGAAATATCCAAAAACCAACACATACAAAAATTGTCTCAAATGTCAATATTCGTGTTATATTTTAAGTCTAACCGGACCGGAAGTGAGAATATGTTACACTCTAAATATCCAGACATATTTTTGTAACTACAATGTACCCCGGTAGTATACCATCATGTGACTGTCACGCATTCAATGACCAAAGTCGTTTTCTTACCTCAACGTTCTGCCAGGACATTGCACGTGCAACCCGGGGATCAGATCTCGAATGTCCCTGTGAGTGGGCATCGTCAACATCTGATACTTCTGAATCTTTCCGGAAATTTACTGAATGAAATACCTGTGAATACGAAAACGTGTCAATGTTAAAACTACTATGATATCGTACGGTGGGCCGGTACAAAAGGCAAATCCGATCCGGTCTGCAAATTAGGTTTGATTTAACTCGGTTAATAAATGCACATTATTAGTTAACGAGAATACTCACATTCACAGGGCTCCCATCACTATATTGACTATGTCCTGCTCTATGTCCATATCTGAGAGGGGTTGTTTCGGAATGGGACGAGCTTGTTTCCCCTTCCATGTTATTCACATAACCTTCGACCTAGAACTTCTGCAATGGGCCGCCTAACTACGTTGTGCTGTGTACCACCTACATTTTTGCCAAGGTAGATTTTTGTTATTCAATGGATAATGCATAATTTGATACCTGACAGTTAACATGTATTTTTATTCATGTAAATCATATACTGAATGTGCAATATAAAGCTAGAGTTATGGTTTGAAGAATAAACCAATCTACAAGTGGGTCATAAACTAAGGAGTACTACTTCCGTTTGGGTTGGGAGGTCATTTATCGACCTTCCTTTACACACGTGTGTTGCAGAAATAAAACTGTTGATACTCCCAAAATGAATTCACTTTGTCGATACGTGAGCCACACGGCACGTACTCTTAGACACATTAACAGGTAGGTTATTATTATTAGCATCATCTTGATTGGTTTTATGAAGTATCTGAGTGATCATAACATTGAGATCTTGTAGTCCATTTGCTATTTAGGTTTCACTCCATATTATAGATAGGCGATCATTCGAACCTGTGATTGAACCAATAAGTTTGGAACACAGGGCTGACTATATTTAGAGAGTGTATTTGTCAGCAAGGCTCTTGACCTCAAGATAAAAAATTCTTCCAAATTATTACACGCAGTGTCTGTTGGTATTATTTTCAACTAAAATTTGATAAATTTTTTAATTGCATTGAAATTCTGGATACGTATTTTAGAGAATTTTTCCCGATTTGGAGTTGCCTACATCTTTGGTTAGATTATGTGTATACAGTAGCAGTCTTACCACAGATGTGCGGATAGACTATGGTAGTGCATTATGGGAATGTCTGTGCTGGGTTGCATGTACAGTATATAATATTTTTATGATTGACAAGAGGAAACTAGTTCAATTGCATATATAAAGTGTCACAGAATTCTTTAAAGCAATATATTCCGGGACACAATTTGTATCATACAAGACAAAGTTGAGATTACGATGAATATTTGCTCTATTAGAATGGCATGCATCTACTTACCTTTTGTTTAAATGCAAATGTTTTGTTTAAAAATGTGAGCATAAATCATTGCCAGCTTATTCAACAACATAACACTGACTAGAAATAGTATTATTCCCACCAAACTTACTGATTCCTTTAAATCTACATGTAGGTGGTATTCAGTTGTAGAACACAAGATATATATGTACAGAAAATAACAATAGCAGAATGTGTCTTACCTTGAACAAACAAAAACAATCCTAACCATACATTGTGTATTTACAATGTTTGTAGCAACTTAGCATTCTCGTTGTTAAAGGGAATAGTGTGTTATGAATGTTTCTGCTCTGAATGCAGTATGTGACAAAAAAAATCAAACATGGCTTTCGGCTTAGTTGGCCACGAGTGAATTGAACATGTACATGTATTTTAATTTTTCTTTTCAAGATGTTAGTCAATGATTGATATTTGACAATGAACTGTACTTGAGTTATTGTGTCTTGATTGTGTACTTGAATCATGAATGTCAACACATGAAGAAAGATGGTAGTGTTTAATATATTTCTGGAAAGTTGGTAATTTTACTTACTTTATTAAACACATAAAATTCCCCAGGAGGAATTCAAATGGTTACATTTACACTACACAAAACTAGACTAATACAAAACATTAAGACTAAAGTGATGATTAAAAAAAAAAAAAAAAAAAATATTATAAAAAAATATAATAATAATAATCGAAATAACCAAAAATCTTCCTCTTTGATGTATACATGTGTAATGCATTGTAGTCATTTCCATGACAACGCTTGCTTAGAGCAATGAGTTAGTGTTGTTTTTATTTGCTGGAAATAGATTACACATGCACTTGGAATAATTGAACAATCAAACAAAAATTGTAAGGAGAGACAGCAGTGACTGACTGTAATTTCCAGAAATGTCACCTTAAAAATTATTTTTAAAAAACAAAAACAAAACATAAACTAAAAGATTCAAATTCAATGAAATCATCTTAAAAGATGCAGTGTGTATTCAATTGAAATTGATTTCTTTGTTAAGACATCTGTACACCCAAAACCACCAGGCTATATTTTATCAAACAATATTAAGTTGAATCTGTATATTTTCCCCCAAGTAATGCATTGAACTATTTCCACCTTCTAGGCACAACAGGTGTATAGTTGCGATTCATCGGGTTCAAAGGTTGTACAGTAATGAAGCAGTGGAACGCTTGCCACCACCCCAGGCTGATGGTGAAGCCAAACAATACCCTGAAAAAATTGTCAATTTAGTAAATGATATATCTCGACTCACCGTAATAGAAATTGCTGAACTCAATGAGTTATTAAAGGTAAGAAAACCACTATGCTTAGGATGATGAATTCATATGGGGTGGTCATTCCAGGACTATTTTGTTACAGGCATCAGATACATGGGTTTGTAAAGGAATATTTCACCTGATCACGGTGTATTGATATGTTGTATTCTAAAATGGTGGAATTTTTGAGCTTTTCTAATGGGTCAATTATATACTCACTTATTTACATAAACATTATGTTAGTCCCCATTTCAGATGAAGTATGAATTCAGGGACTATTAATTTTGTTTCAGTTCATTCGTCCAAAGCTATTTATCAGACATGCTTTGACCAATCACATTCAAGCTTACACAAAAACTATGTATAGTGACTTGTATATACATGTACATGTATGTATGGCTGATTGACGGCCATTTTGGTCCTCAAATTTAGTAAATTCTGTCACTTAAACTACCCTTAATCATTTCTTGGAGATGAACAGGGCAATTGTATTTAAACTTTGTATGAAGATTATGCACATTGGGTCATATGTTTTGTTTTTATTCATTGCTATGCCAATTCCAATTCCTTGTTAATATATCACCTGATTCAGTTGAAAGTTTATTTATACATGTAAAGTACTGCATTTATTAGCCAATTTTTTCACTTGATACATATATGCTCTATGATTATATGTAGTACTGATTAGTTTTGGGTGAAATCCTGTGCTTAATAATTACCTAATTTGCATATCAATTTGCCAATTTTAGGCATTTTCACTTCAACTATTCAACATTTTTCATCACACACTACTGTACCACTCATGATTTTTATGCAATGAAACATATTTTTACACTATTCTAGAAGTGTTAACCAATTATCAGCCCCCGGTAAAAACACCCTGAGCCAATAACAGGGGATGCTCTCAACTCATTAAATGTCTAAAAATAGATGGATGGGCTTATAACCAGGCTTATGACCGGGGAAGTACAGTAAAACCAAGATTTTATTGCAAAACAAGTCTTAATATTTTTTTATTTATGGGTTTATAATTTCAGATTACACTTAAAATACAAGATGTACCTATGACAGCAATGGCAACAACCGCGGTGGGGCCTGCAGCAGGCGCTGAGGTGAGTTGTGCTTTCTTTGTCAAAATCTACTTATGAGTGCAGATAATGGCGTGATACTTTTTGGTGTGTTTTACAGCATTGTTCACCATCTTTTTTTCTCTTGTAACTCAATCAAGGCTGAAGAAGAAGAAGATGCTGAACCCAAAACAGAGAAAACTCATTTTACCATTAAATTAACAAAATTTGATGCTGCCAGTAAAGTGAAACTCATAAAAGAAATAAAATCACTTACAACAGGCATGAATCTTGTGCAGGTGAGTGAGAGGAAACACCAGAATAGTGGTGATGAATTGTAGTTCAGTTAGGGGTGCACACTAGAATGGTGGTGATGAATTGTAGTTCAGTTAGGGGTGCATACTAGAATGGTGGTGATGAATTGTAGTTCAGTTAGGGGTGCACACTAAAATGGTGGTGATTAATTGTAGTTCAGTTAGGGGTGCACACTAGAATGGTGGTAAAGAATTGTAGTTCAGTTAGGGGTGCACACTAGAATGGTGGTAAAGAATTGTAGTTCAGTTAGGGGTGCACACCAGAATGGTGGTGATGAATTGTAGTTCAGTTAGGGGTGCACATTATAATGGTGGTGATGAATTGTAGTTCAGTTAGGGGTGCACACCAGAATGGTGGTGGTGAATTGTAGTTCAGTTAGGGGTGCACACCAGAATGGTGGTGATGAATTGTAGTTCAGTTAGGGGTGCACACTAGAATGGTGGTGATGAATTGTAGTTCAGTTAGGGGTCCAAACTAGAATGGGGGTGAAGTGTAGTTCAGTTAGGGGTGCACACTAGAATGGGGGTGAATTGTAGTTTAGTTAGGGGTGCACACTAGAATGGTGGTGATGAATTGTAGTTCAGTTAGGGGTGCACACTAGAATGGTGGTGATGAATTATAGTTCAGTTAGGGGTGCACACCAGAATGGTGGTGGTGAATTGTAGTTCAGTTAGGGGTGCACACTAGAATGGTGGTGATGAATTGTAGTTCAGTTAGGGGTCCAAACTAGAATGGGGGTGCACACTAGAATGGGGGTGAATTGTAGTTTAGTTAGGGGTGCACACTAGATTGGTTATGGTGAATTGTAACTCAGTTAGGGGTGCATGCTAGAATGGTGGTGACGAATTGTAGTTCAGTTAGGGGTCCAAACTAGAATGGGGGTGAATTATAGTTCAGTTAGGGGTGCACACTAGAATGGTTGTGGTGAATTGTAGCTCAGTTAGGGGTGCACGCGAGAATGGTGGTGATGAATTGTAGTTCAGTTAGGGGTCCAAACTAGAATGGTGGTGGCGAATTGTAGTTCAGTTAGGGGTGCACACTAGAA